AACCTTCCATTCACCAGGATTACTGCTTTCAGGGTCTGTTTCAGACCCGCTGGATTGCCTACCTGGCTTGGTGTGGATGGAGTCAACCTTTTCCTGCATTCACCCCACTTCCCTCTTTCTCACTTTTAATGTTGGATGATTTTATGTACGATTTTCTCAACTCTCATTATAAACCGACGCAGGATTTCTCATGCTAATGATGCTTAAAAGAAACATAACTGGCCAAGTTAACTTTGTGCCTAATTAATCCAAATCTCATTTCTGGTTTCTTGGGAACGATCTACGTTTATGGCTGTTAAGCGCGCGGTTGCATTGGACTTGAGACTGTTTTTCCTTTTGCTTATCATAAAAGGTCACTAATTCTGTGATATACGTCGTATGGGATAGCTCAGCAGGCCTGCTGCGCAAGTTAACACACTCTGGTCTTAATGTATCATTAAATGCATGCACTTCACCAACGAAGCTGTGAAGAGTGGAGCGCTAAACATGGAGGTATGGAAGCCGTCGGTGGGGTGGGTGAAGACGGAGGTTGCTGCGATAATTTGCCTTGCAAAGCACATCCAGCTGCCCTTTCCATGGCTCATTGGCGCCCAAGATCAGGTGCAATCTGAACTGGAATCATTTGGATAATTGACCTTCTGTGTGCATACATTAGAATATATTAATTTTGATTGGCCGTGTAGCATTAGGAACAAAGCAGCAAATGTTGGCTCTTTTATATTCGTCTGCTAGTCTTGTTGTACCCAGTCTCGAAGGTGATTATGTATGGTAACCATTATGCATTACTTTCATTTCATAAAAATAGTTATACTCAGAACAGTAAGAGTGGATCAGCTCCAGTCACAGGGCTTTTTTACATGTAGTCTGGATATACAAACATATGAAGCTTGTTTGTACAATAAATTGGTATTGGTCTGTGTTGAAATTGACTTGTTAATGGCTATTGCATTGTATTTGTTTTTCCTTTTTTTAAATTATTTGTATTATTTAAGTATAAAAAAATGTTTTACAGTTACTTTTCCTTGAAAACCTTGACATTCGGTAAGAAATAACCCTAGAAATAGTATGCGTGGTGGGGCCTATGTGGACCAGACCTGTGCATCTCATTCTGGCTGATGGACAGCCATTAACCCTTCGTGGCGGGGTCGAGGAACATTTCTGTCTGCCTGTCACCGGTGACGGGACTTCCCCTGAGGAGGAGTAACGCCTGCCCTACACGGTCTGCCTATGTGCAGTCTTAACGCATATCGCAGCCAGGCATGTATGAGGCTATCCATGCGAGTGTGTCTGTGTGTACATGTGTACAAACTGTGTCTTGTGTGTACATGTGTCTATGGTGTGTGTATGCGGCCGTTCTGTTGCCCTCAGGTAAGCTGCAGGAGACACTGGTCCCATCCCTGACTGACATTCAACAAAACGCCGCCAGCAAGAAGTTTCTGACTTTCCGTTTCCAATTCTTCCCTTTCCATGTCTGCCTCCATCCGTTTGCCCCCCTACCACCTTCTTCCCACCCTACTGTCCTTTTTGCCCTAGTGCTCACCCCCCTCTCTTAGTGCCTTGTCTTTGTCTCCAAGTATCCTGTTTGGCCTTTCATCTCCCTCTTTGTCCACCTCCATGGAGTGCTCTCTCTATAATATCCTGTTTTTGTACTTTGTAGGCCTTGTCCGTGATCATAAGCCCTGAAGCATGTTTGTGAGGTAAACTGAGCTTTCTCGCTAAATTGGACCACATGTCCCTGCTCTTCCATTTGATTAGAAGGTGATGGTTAGTCGGAGAGCCTCGTGCGCATGAAAAGGTGAAACTGCTGTGTGTGTGTGTGTGTGTGTGTGTGTGTGTGTGTGTGTGTGTGTGTGTGTGTGTGTGTGTGTGTGTGTGTGTGTGTGTGTACACACTGGCGCACTGGAGGCACCACGCTTGATATCTGATATCCAGCCTCAGTGTTTTAATGGACACTTCAAACCAGCCAACAACAAAGCCCTTCCACCACTGAGCCAGCATAGTGCACTCACTGCCCGCCCGATATACATGACAAAGGAAAAGGTGAAGTGCACTTCAGTGTGCAGCAAAGTACACTTCAGATGTGGCTTCGAAACCCCACCGGCCCTTAGGACTCAGGGGAAGGGAAGGGTCAAAGTCGGTTAAAATAATAGGCAGACGAGCCATGCATGAGTCACAAGTATTACAGAAAGACAATGATTGAATACATTGAGTGTATGTAAAAGTGGAGGTGACTTAGAAGATACTTTAACTAAAAGTTATTTTGCAAAAGCAAACTAACTTTTGCTTTTCGTTTCTTATGAATGTATTTGTCTGTGCCATTTCATTAGCGTATCTACAAAGCCAATGATTCAATTGCATCCTAATGTGTGACCAACAACAAAATATTTGAAACCATAAAAATAAATTATATATATATATATAATTGTGAGATATTCTTTACACATACACAGGGCTAGGTTTCATTTAAACAGGGCATATTAAGCGGTCGTCCCCCATGAAATTTTGAGCTTCAAACACTTCATTTCCTGTATTCTGGAGAATTTGTATGCACCAATTTGTGCCTGTTCTGCATCAATAAATGGTGGATATGGTTGTATGTAGGCCTAAAAGAAAACTTCAAAATTCAGGCACCAGGTGACAATTCAAAATATAATGGAATAAAATGCAGTAAGGCTCTCAGGCGTTCTGTATTGCTTTCAAATATGTATTCTCCTGTATTTTCTCATTTAATGTTATCCCTGCTGAGTCAGTGAGTGATTTACTCTGTCCTCTGTTGGGTCTTTTGTTTGGGGAGGTAACCTCTTTAAATGTGCAAGTGGCACCAATTCATGTCAATGATAAATTAATTAATTTAGGAAACCCCTGGACTTTAATAGCTCATGTGTTTCAGCAAGATATCTGCTCATGTTCAAAACATCCTGCACATTCAAAACATATCCCACATATTTGTGTTTTCGGATGATTTTTAGAAATCATGTACATCTCAAATATGTTATAGAAGCTGACTGCAAACAAGAATACCCATTTTGGTCATAACTGATTAAAATGTTATTCTGGAAAACAAAAACCCTTAGTGTTAACAATTCCTGCTCAGTTTCCAGACCGTAGTCTGGAAGCCAGGGGAGATTTTGTTTTTCTTCAGGGCCAAAGTCAATTCTCACTTCGCGGCTTACCCCCTTCACTTTCCCAGCAGATGGGTAACGACACACGGGAACTTTACTTTGATCTTAGGTCTTGCTGCAGCCTTTTATTCACTAACAAACTGTAACCTACACTGTACATGTACTGCCAGATTTACAACTTCACCGCTAACCTTTTCCTCTGCTCCGATCGCATCCACCATCACCCTCTGCCGCTCGCTCTCACACACTTGCTATGCCCACACACTACGCACTGCCCTATTCATCAAAGGTTATATGGCAGATTGCAACCATTGCTTTTTTGCATACTGCCACCACCTACTTTACCCGCGGCATTGTTGGGTCTAGGAGTCCAGTTCTAGCAGTTCATTGAAATAAGTCCTCTGCTACTTTCATGTTTTTATTTGGGGGGGGGGGCAAATGCATGTGTTGTAAATATTCAGGGGGATGTGTCCCCTGCGTCCACCATGGGATCTATGCCTATGTGTGTGAGGCATTAACAGTATAGACCTTCTTGGCGTGGTGTTCAGTTCCTGTCCAGCCCACCCTTCCCCGTGGTTTATTTAAACCATGGTGAATATGGTATAATTCCATCAGAACAATGAAATGTTTATTCATGTGTAGAGAACAATCTTTCCCCTGATGGTTGAGTGCACTAGAAGGCTGCATTTAACAGCAACCTTGTGTACTCACTTCTCTATCAGTCCCCCCAAATATCTGAACACATTTATTAATAGCCGTGGGTGTGCATTACTAAGGCAAATCTAAAAGCTAGTGCTATTTGGGATCATCTGTTTCATTGGGTTTGAACCAGTTTGCAATTTTAACAGGAGTGTTTTTACTCTAAAGTATGTTGCACTGAAAGCCATTCATGATGGCTTTGTCTGCTGCTCATCAGCCTACTAACTATTGCATTGTGCTCATTATTCTGCATCTTATTGTGATCCAAGTACCGTGGTACTCATTTCCGTGTTTCTTTCTGTGACTTCGTTCATTGAGCTGAGTCTAGTTGAAACAAACGCAATTCATTTCACTGTGAAAGCTGTCACAATATTTTGGTCCACTTGTAAAAGCCTCATGATAGGTGTGAGGGACTTTGCCTTAAGATATATGACAAGGTATTTATCGTGAGGCAAAACGCAGTTGAGCATTTCACTTTTGGTGTTGAGACTAATTACTAACATTGTAATTGTCCAATCGTGACTTGGCAAGGGCACCAGGCTAGCCCATTGGCCATATTTGTCCCAGCCAAAGGACGGTTGGATGGTGAAACTGGTGGAGGTAGTGGCGATGGAGACAACACCAGGAGGCAGCTGTCTCAGCCTCTGAACCTGCTGGGTATTCACAAAAGATGGTAGACCTTGAGGCGGTAAAGGCTATGTCTAGAATCCATTCTTCACATGGGCCCGTTCCTTTCTTCCCCTACTCCACTCTTCGACTACTTCCCACACACAATGTCATGGCTTGAGGCCAAGCCATTTCCTCCTTGATTGGTTTCTTCATTTTTTTTGCCCACAGAAAGAAGAAAAAGCAAAGGGGAAAGAGGTTGAGTATTCTTTAAAGGGATGATGTAGTCATGTGACCCTGGGTCCAAAATTCATACCCACCACCAGCCAGTAGATCTGACCATTTGGCAGGTCAAAAACTTTTTTAAATTTTGCAGGTAAAAAGAAACAATTCTAAAAGTACATTGTGGACCCTGAATGCATCAGGAAACTGTATCTTTGTAGGAAAAGAAGATACATATATATATATATATATATATATATATATATATATATATATATATATATGCCTTTGGTGGACGCATTTATCCAAAGCGTCTTGCATTACCGTGAGTGCATACATTCTTAGCATGAGTGGTCCCAGTGGGAATTGAACCCCTAACCATGGCAACGTTAATACCATGCTCTACCAGTTGAGCTAGTCAGAACCATCTTTATCTATAGCTGAATTGAATTGGCAGGACTGTTTTTTCTTATAATCCCTGGAGGTGAATGCTTAATCTGGAATATGAATTAATGCTAAACTATGGGACATCATAACAGACACACTCCTGTCCCTTTTGTTCTCGGCGGGAACCACTGTCCTCACCTGACTGCGTCAATCAGGTGGGCAGCTGTCGGCCACTGTGGCTCTCTAACATGGAGCCAAACTTCAGATGTTGTCTGTCAAGAGGTGTCTTCAGTGGTGACATGGTGGCGGCCCAGACATAATGCCGGGTCTGTCTCACTGCACAGGCCCTGGAAGAAGCTGTCATGCTTCACCAGGCCGGGTAATTATGTCCCTCTTATCCATCCTTGCCAGGCCCGGTCCCACCCTTCAATGGAAGGCAGGGTACCTCTCGGTACCCACCACCACCTCCTCCTCTCGCTCAGTGCCTCCAAGAGCCTTTCTGTCTCACTCTTACTCTGTATTTCATCCCCACTTCTTTGTTCTTAGGACTTTCTCGTAGTCTTGTCTGTTTCTCCAAGAATAGCTTTGACGAGCATATTGCTGGAGTTTATGGATGGATACTGGAAGACACAACCAACCATGAATGTTGGTATTTGATATTGCTCGAGTTAATAAGACGTGTTACACGTGTCATGTGTTGACAAAGTACATTCTCCTCCGCAGTCACAACTACTGAAGTACTACCAATGGACACAACTTTCCTCTGTATTAAAAGTGTAAGGACAATCATATACATTATGAAATACGAATGTCATTTATTATCTTTAATTAATTTTAAAATGATGATTTTATCGGAAGGCTAGTAAGTTGCAGATATGAGTTAACCTACAAGACACGAACAAAGCATGTTCTATGAAAAACTTTGTAAGCCATTGTGGACCATATCCCAACTGAGTCCACCTCAGCCATCAGTGAAGTGGGTTGAAATCAAAGGACTCTTGTTATCCCCAAGATGTGTGATTACAGCCAGCGGGTCTGTGTTGATTTGAAAGCTGCGCATCTTAACCTGTGGCCCCATCAGAACCAAGCGTTTGGGGGGCCCCCTGGGCAGATCGGCACGGTTTAAGCAAGGGCCGGCAGAACAGGCAGTGACTGTCCCAGCTGTCTCCAGTAGATAAGACCAGACAATGGCCCCTAATAGGCCACAGAGAGACGCCCGGCTTCAGCCTGGCCCTCCGTACGCTCCTGCCTGCTAGCGGCTTACAAAGACAACAAGATGCCTTCCCCTTTTCTTTCCTGTAGCCAGATTAACGCTGCTTTAGCAGGCTATGGACGCAAGAAATGTGTGCGCTAGCGATAATTCAGCACATTTCGCCACAGGGCTCCTGGCAGAAAGACCACAGAAAAACAATGCTTTAACATTCCCTCAGGGTTGGAACTTAAAAAGGGGGGGGGGGGAGCATAATCTTTTGCTGTTTATAAGTAGATGCAGTGAATTTTAAGTCAGAGTTCACAACTTGATTTTATTTCATTGTCTGCCTGCATTATCATTTCCTGAGTCACTGAAGGTGATTTACCCATGTGTTTTATTTCAGTCCAAACAAAACCACAATTATTGTGTCGGTTTGTTTTAATAATGAGAACTTCCTGAGTATGTACCAGCAAAATCATCCTCAAATGTTCTTGATCCAGGGAAGCCAAGGAAGGAAAGGAAAGCCAGAGAGAGCCAGTGCTGATCTGGGAGCAGCCATGGGGCTGTGTGAGCATGTCAAATTGTCTGAGCTACATTTCTTTCTTGTCCTAAATGCAGTTAGCTGGCTATATAATGGCAGGCAGAAAAGCTGATTTATGCTGTGAAGGCCCCTCTTTGAGTTGGACAGGAAAAAAGCTTTGACAGTCTGGCAGAGTTCTGGCTGCTCTGATCCCATTTTGTGAAATTATCATTTTTACCGGGGTCCAGGTAGAAGGCACCTGCTCAGCCCACAATAGGGCATGGAAGAACACATAGAGATCCTCTGGAAGAGAGGAACCTGGCACATTATGCCTCCCTCCTTTTATTCTGTGCTCTGGTGAAAGACGTCCACTCTGCTGCCAACGGTGCACTCGCCTATATAGGCCTTGGAGCAAAGTGGCTCCTTCGCCTTGTGACAGAAGGAGAAAGATTGCAAGGAAGGGTGACATTAAACTTTTCCGACATGATCTATTGTGGAATATTATTTTGTCGCAATTTTCTATTTCCCCCTGCCTTTCTAAGTCTGAATCAAATTGGGGCGTGTTTTAAGAAGAGTTTGAGACTTTATATTTTGCAGTGTGTCAAACCATGAAGATTGAACCTTACTTTGGCTTGCATTGCTCTGGCCCATTCATCAGAATGGCATTTACAGGCTCTAAGACAGAGCAAGGGAATGGCTGGAGAGTTGCACACAGCTCGCCAGCTGTCTGAAATAAGTAAAATATATTCTCCCTGAGAATATATTTTACAGCCAATGTGTGGAGGGCATTCCACTAAACATGACTTATTGGCCTAGACAACATGCATGTTTATTATATTTGGACACACAATATAGTACAACCAATGATGTAATGTAAGTGTTTGTCACTTGTAGTCACTGGTAGCATTAAAACTGCCAGGGTTAGTGGTTTGATTCCCCACTGCGAAGAATGTATGCACTCATGTTATTGTAAGACGCTTTGTTTAAAAGCATCCACCAAATGTCATAGGCCTTTTTTAAATATATGTTGATGTATGACCAAGGAAATAAATGGCTCCATGGATTTTGTGGTTTCAATCTCAATCTGTATCTGTCTCGTCTTGATCTCCGTCTCTATCTCTATATGTCTCTCTGTCTCAATCTCTGTCTCTGTCTCTCTTATCGCTCTTTTTTGAGGGAATATTTTGACACCAGAGACTTCTGCTGTGTCCTCATTCGAACTGCTTCCTGTACAAAGTGTCTGTCCAACCTCAGGCTGTTTTGTTGGAACCCAAACCCGAGACATATAGAGAGTACACGACAGACAGCAGAGTGCAACCACATTCATATTTTCATAAAACTGCATGTACTACTTTGCTGGACAACATAAATCTTGTGCCTGTATCATTAATATACATCTCTGTCAATAGGAGATGCTTGAATGGAAGAAATATGGTGTTTCTCAGTGGAGACAGTTGAAAAATAGGTTGCTGCTGATGTAGTAGGAAATGGACTCCCTTCTGGGGGCTCGACTGGATTCAAGTCTCTGCTGCCCCCCAGTGGAGACGTCTGGTGAATGTGTCCGTGTGTGAACGTCTGACATGCGTCCGTGTGTGAATGTCTGTATGGGACATTTAATCACAGTAAAACTCCAGTCTCCTATATCCCCTTGCATGCCTAGCATCTCATCTTTGAACACAGTTCACCGTTGTTTTATTGATCAGGCAGTCTCACAGGGATTTGTGTCCATCTTGGAGTGTTTTTCACTTGATCAGCATTAAAGCATACAAGTGATTCTCCCTTCAAATAAAATGTACCTTATTTTTTATCATGCACACATAGTGTCATTTTGTATTAACTTGAGTTGCATGCTTATGCGATTATACAGATAATCTGACCCTTTTTAATTATTTACAGTACCTTTTATTAAGTTACATACAGTCTTTTTAGCCCTAGTGACCACATTCACACACAGGTTGGAGTCAGTGTGGAGTATGCAGGTAGAAACTAAATCCTTATATCCTTTCAAATTCAAAACCAGTAAGAAGCTTTCTAAGCCTGGAGTACAAAAGGTCAGAATAGGAAAGACATTTAAAAAAAGGCTTTCCACAGCAAATGGAAATGTTTCTGCAGCATAAAAAGCTATTCATCATCTCTACAGGGAGATTATTGGACAATGTAGACCCGACACGAATCAAACGAACGTGTTTAGCGGAGTCCGGCTGAAACATGAATGAGTGTTGACGTGTGAAGTGTGGATGCGAGGAGACCATGTACACAGAAAGTCCCTTATCCACTCTGAGCCCAGGAACTGGCTGTGCAGTAGCAGCAGTGCTCACCCCAGAGTCCTATTGCTTAAGGAATACAGCAGTGAAAAGTGTAATTGGAAGGAACAGCACATCATCAGCCTTTATTTTGGGCTGGAGACATCCTGTAGTTATCTGCACGCAGCGTAACATGTTGTAACACTAATTAACTGTGATTAATGAATGTAGCACATTTTAAACTCCACCATTTGCAAGGAAGACTGCAGGATTTGTAAGGCACGTACACGCGGTGTCTTGGAAACCTCGTCCCCTGTCCCTGGCAGCGGTCTTGTTTACACGTCTCTAATTGGCTACAGACCGAGGCAGCGGTGGCACTAGGCAGCAATGGCCTTGTGATCCTGCCTTGAGCCACGACTAGACCAGTGCCGTGGGAAACCACACACATACACACCACATACACATGTGCCTCAGGCGTGGAGGAGAAAGACTCATGCTGCACATACAGCTACACAGGCACAGGAGGCGGCGGCGGCGGCACACACGTACGCCAAAAGAGCTTTCTGCCGCAGCCTCACATGCCGCCCGAACGATAGGCGTTGGAGACATGATAAGCTGGTCCGGGTTCACGTCCTTGTTGCTCTCTGCTTTGCAGCAACACACAAAGACCCGCCGCGCATACCTGTCACAGGCATTTTTTTTCACCGCAAAGCCGAAAATGCGTCCCACGCACGCAACTGTCGCACGCAACTGTCCGTTGTGATGTTCTACATCACACCTGCCGTGCCTGCTCATTCACGTGCATGCGCACCGCTTGCTTGGCTAGCGCACATTGTAAACCACACTTTTTTTTTAAGTGCACTGGCAGACCCGTCTCAGTAGCGATGAAATATGGCAACCCATGTGAATCATTCACACAGCCGCACACGGTGTCTACCACCACGATGCATGAACTATCAGAACATCCTTTCATTCAGCTCCCCTTCGTTTAGTGTTGTACGGTGTTATGTTTGTACCGGTTTGCATCTCATTGTACAATTTCCTCAACCCGCTTATTCTATGTTGACCGAGAAGCAGCATAGCA